GGGAATGATCATATCCACAGTGCAGAGGAAAAAGCAAAAGCTGAAGAAGCCCTCGAGAGTTTGTCTAAGTAATGTCTCTTTTAGAGAGAGAGAAGAGGAGAGGAGAGAGAAAGAATGGATAAGGCTTTGAATCTCTCAAAACAAAGAGATGCTGCATATTTCTACTACAACTACACATGACTATACCTGCATGGTGTGTTGCACTAAAAGCAAACAATGTGGTGACTAGGGGAGTGTGTTGTGGGGAGCTCTATTATAGCTTTGCTCATATTTGTGGTGCAAGGAATCTGAGCTGTGTTTTCAGTTTCAAGTTTAGAATTAAGAAAGAAAAAAAAGAGTAGTCCGGTGCACTAAGCTCCCGAAATGCGTATGTTCGAGAAAATGTTGGACCATATTGAATTGTATTTACGCAACCTTACCTTGCATTTCTACAAGAGATTTCCGTAGCTTGAACTCGTGACCTCCTAGTCAAACAACGCCAACTTTTACTACTCCCCTTCAAGTTTATATAGAAGACTTCTAAAGAAACACATTGCATTTTACTCTTTCTCCCATGGCATTCCTAAATGATCATGTTTAACTTCTATATAGCATTTAACTTCTATGGCATTTTATCTGCTACAATAAATTAAAATACACTCCGTCTGATATTGTAATATGTACTACTTCTTTATCCTATCAATGTATATAAGTTAATTCCGTCCTAACTTGCAGAAATCTAAATTCCTAGAATTCTGAAAGATATAGAAAAGGAGAGAGAAACAGCAAATTAAAACTGTGAGTTGAGTCCAGTCCAGAGTAGACCAGTCTGTATAACATAAGGCTAGACGTTACTTTGCTTTTGCCTCGAGAAAGAACTATGTTCAGTAACTGATGCACGTGCAATCCAGTATCCAAATGTAACTCATGTCTCCTTCTTCATTCCTAAAAACCCTAATTATTCTGAAATTCTTGAAAAATAATGGTAAAAAATTTAAAATGTTTGATTTTTGGGAAAAAAGAAAATTTAGCTGGAAATTAAACTTAGGAGTATAATGCTGCCCATACCTCTCCTTTTGTTTTCAATAGTTTGCTACCAAACTCTCATTAATGAAGAGGACTTCTTCAATGTGGTCAGCTAATTATATTTAATATTACTATTATCAAGAAAAACATTGTTATTATTACAACTCTTAGTATCATGATTATGGAATAATGATGTCCTTTACCTATCAAATGAATCTCATACAATCATGGAAAGAGTTGACAATAGATTTCAGAAAGGAAACAATATGAGTTTGCAAAGTTAACTTCATTTTATAAAATTACAGCCACATCATCTCATATCATAATCAAACTCACAATCCAAAAAACCTAGCTGAAAATGCAACTAAACTCAAATTCATCATGTGATGTAATTGAAATTAGGAAAAGAATTATGAAAAAAAAACCCTCAGATAGTCAGCAACTCGAAAACCCTTTTCCTAAATCTCGTTGCTATAGTGTTCTTGATGATGAGAAAGAAGAGAAAGAGACACCAAGAGTTTAAGCTAATTAAACAAGTAAATAAAATCAAGAGAAAATTACCCCTTCTATGAATTTCAGCAAGTTAGAATGGCGAATGTCATCCTTCTGTAGGGCTATGTTAATCTTCTCTGTATCGTTTCAATTTTATCAGATACTCTTGAAAGAGCCAACTAGTTAGAATGGAGGTCTGCCGGTTGCCCAATAGGGTTCAGAAGGTAACTGAATGGAGTTGAGAAGATTAGGTGGCATTCCATGAAATAGAGATGGGTCCGCCATCAATTGTTGTTGTTGTTGTTGTTGTTGCTGCTGTTGATGTTGTCCTGGTCCTCCGATATTTCCAGGAGGAGATCCTAGTGTCCCTCCTCCTGGAACTGGAAGAGGATTTTGATCATCTTCTTCTAAGGGAAGCCTTTCATAAGCTGCATTGCTAAACGACGCGGCCATAATCACAACTGGTCCAGATGCCATAAGTGCACCAACCACACTACCACCAACAACTTGACCTTGTCCGCCAGCTAAATATATAGTCAATCCAGAAGCTGCTGGAGGTGCTGGTGGTGGTAAAAATGATCCAGCTAAACTTAAAATCTCAAAACGACCATGTAATGTCACAATTGCACCAGGTGAAGCTGGTTGTCTTAAATTAACATTAGTAACAATACCAGTTCCACTCATAATACAAACACCTCTTTGTCTTCTCCTTGCAAAATTTGAAATACTCTCCATAATATCACAACCATCAGCAATTTCCATAACATGAGTTCTAAGAGCATTGGCACTATCTCTAGTGATGATAATTGGTGGCTTTGGTTTGTTCTTGGATCCAGCTGGTCTTCCTCTAGGTCTTCTATTGATCTCTCCATCTCCGGAATTTCCTGTGTTATTGAAGATATAATTAAGACGATTTTCTAACAACTTAAACTTTTAGATGAGATCAGTTCAATACCTGTAATACCTAATCCGTCTTTCGATTCCCCACCATTTGAATTTTCGTTGTTGTTGTTGTTGTCGTCATCGCGCTCTCTCTTTTGGCCAGACATGTTTAGGCCACTAGTTCCACTTTGTTCATCTTCTGAGGTTTGATGGAATTGATGTAAATTGAAATCTCTAGTATGGAAAGGAGGTGGGAGTGAATGATTTACTGAATCCATATGTTCTTTAACTTCAATTCTACTACTTTTCTTGAGAGGGAAATTTGGAAGCCAAGAAAAATGGAAGAAGAAGCAAAGCTAAGGGGAAGGGTTTGTAATGATTTGTAAAGATAGATAGTGGGAGGAGGAAGCTTAAAAAAGGAAGAGAGTAGACTTTGGGTTTATTGGTCTTATTTTTCTTTTTAATTATTCTCTTTCTTGCTTTCTGGCTTTTTTTGAGGAAAGAGGGGGTCTTGTTTATTGAATCAAGGTACTCATAGTCTTCATCATAAAGAAGAGGGAAAGTGGGGTTTTGGGTGTCACCCACCAAAAATTCTTAGCTCCAAAATTCTTCATCATCATACTATGATTCCACTTCTTCTTCTTTAATTTGTATATGAACAAGTGAATCTTGGGGGTACTTTGCTCTTCACTTGAAAAAGACTTATAGCTAGTTGTAGGTGCTTTGAGTTAGGGTTAGCTAAAAACTTAGCTTGGAGAAAAGAGAGATTCAGATTGAACATTATATGGTTTTTATTTTTATTTTTATTTTGTTTATTATGCATGTTTGTTTAATCCCTATATCCAAATTTATGTGATACCATTCAGATTTTGAGATTTAAGTTTTTTAATTTTGATTGTAAATTCGAATAAAGAATCTTCAAATTTTTTGAAATAAAAGTTTAGTATATATAAAAACTACACAAGATAACAAATAATTCAAAATACAAAAAGATTGCGATAAAAAATTATTTGACTCTCAAAATTTAAATAGTGACACATAAATTAGAACTGATGAGAGAGTAGTTTTGGTTTTTGGTTTTGGGCGGTGGATGGGTCCTCTCTTCTTTCTCTCACTAATTCACGTGGTTTTTATAAGGGAATTAATGAACAATTTTAATTTATTTTTACTTGTGAAGAACCCCATATCCACCTTTCTTGCATATTCAACCTATATTTTGTCATTTTCTTTGGCCTGTCTCAATCCATTAATTTCTTTCTTTTCCTTTGACCATGAAAAGAGGAAAAGAAGATAAGGAAAAAAAATACATTTTTTTCTCTTCACATACTCAGATACAGATATTTGATTGGTTAAGGTTTTCTTATTTTCGTTTTGGTTAGCATATTATATTACCTCATGTTTCACAACTTCTTGCATAGTCGCATGAAATTAATTTGCTCTTCAAATATGTTACTAGCTAACTGGTTTTTCATACATGTTCATTACAATTTTGTACAGAATTGTGATGAACCCTCATTCTCGTCACAGAGTGATGGACATATTTGTCATGAATTTGACGCTCCCTCACATGTAGACTTGATTCTCTTTCATGGTTCATCCACATGTAATTCTTTTTAATAATGCGTGGCGACCGTGAGACTCAAAACCAAGACATCACGCTTACACTTATATCATATTCAAGTGTGTGATCGCCGCCTCTAAAAGCCGTTCCTATTAGCAAGAGCATATTTTGTTTAATTATGTCACAACAAAAATGTGACTATCACAAATTTGTGACAAAGTTCGTCTTAAATATTTCATTACAAATTAAATATGAATTTTTCTTTCTTTTGGTCACGGGTTCGAGTCGTAATCAGCCATTGATGTTTGCATTACAATAAGCTGCTTACATCACACCTTCTTTGGGTTCAAGCTTTACCTAAATTCTGCGTGAACGCGAGACGCTTCGTGCACGTGACTGCCTTTTCTCTCCTTTGGTTTGTCCTATTAGCCAGTCGAGAAATAACTGAGGGAAATGAAGGTAAGTGAGAGTGATAGTAACAAGATGTAATAGCAGCTGGCAAAATTAAATTAGAAGAGTGTTTCTAGTCAAGAATGGAAGAACGTGTGCATTTGTGTGGTTCTTTTTGGATGGGGTGAAGTGAATAGTGGTGGGCTGGTCAAGCTTCAATTTTTCCAAGAACCACATGCACCATATCTTCTGCAACCCTCTTATCTCTACTCTTTTAATTTTTCTCAGTTTTAGTGTCCATATGGGGCCCACAAAAGGTTCTCTAAGCTTGACACGTGTCACTTCCCTCGCATCCCGCGAGTCTATTCTTTGAAATTCAACTCTTGCCTTTTCCCCCTTTGGGTCCTAATTGCCTCTCAATGATTTTCCTTCTCTTTATATATTCCCTCCCATTTTTTCCATTTTGCTAAAAGAAAAAAAAAAATGCGTAAAGTTTATCATGGATCAATGGAGCAACAAAATATTTAATTTTGGTTGGTCAATAGACTAAGGAGTATTGTGGAATGGATGAGTCTGCTCCATCTTTAATTAGAGATCTCAAATTTGAGTCATTTGAAATGTAAAAATCACACTCCAAACTTTTAATAGGACTTATACAATACGGTTCTGTATTAATCGGATCAGTAAATTTTGAAAAGACCGGCTAAAAAAGGACAACAAACAAGTTGGGCCACTAAGACTAGGAAGCTAAGGTGAGGATATATATGCTCTGGCTTTGCAAACTCATAAGGCCCCCTTTGACTATCAAGTTGCACATATATTATAAAATAAGAAAAAGTTTAGAAATTCTTTTTCAAACATGTAATACACTTGCTATATATCATATGAATAGAAAATGTAACGACCCGACCGGTCGTTTTGAGCTTTAGCGCGTTCTTCGGCGGTTTGAGGCCATGAGCAGCTTCACTTCAGGTATTATGACTTGGACGCATGGTCGCAATTGAATTTCGGGAAGTTCGGAGTTGATTTGGAAAGAAAATTCTCATTTCGGAAGCTTTAAGTTGAAAGAATTGAATAAGGTTTGATTTTTGAGTAAACGACCTCGAAATCGGGATATGGAGGTTCCAACAGGTTCGTATGATGATGGGCGTATGTCCGAATCGGGTTTTGGATGACCCGGGAGCGTTTCGGCGCCTATTGTGGAAGTTAGCATTTTTAGAAGAATTTTATAAGTTTGGGTTGAAGTGCATTTTAGTGTTATCGATGTCCGTTTGGAATTTCGAGTCTGGGAATAGCTCCGTATGGTGATTCTGGAATTGGGGGCGCGTCCGGAAGTGGATTCGGAGGTCCTTAAGTCATTTTGGAGTCATTTGGCTAAAGTTAGAAATTTGAAGGTTTTTGAGAAGTTTGACCAGAAGTGGAATTTTTGATATCGGGGTCGGAATCCGATTCCGAAAGTTGAAATAGGTCCGTAATATCGAATATAACTTGTGTGCAAAATTTGAGGTCAATCGGACTTAATTGTTAGGTTTCGGCATCGAATGAAGAAGTTTGAAGTTCTAAAGTTCATCAAGTTTGAATTGAGGTGTGATTTAGGATTTTGATGTTGTTTGATGTGATTTGAGGCCTCGAGCAAGTTTGTGTTATGCTATGGGACTGGTTTGTGTGGTTGGACGGGGTCCCGGGGGCCTCGGGTGTATTTCGGGGTGGTTTCGGATCATTTCGGGATGTTTTGGAACTGCTGATATCTCGTATTTGGTTTCCTTCTTCGCGAACGCGAAGACAGTCCCGCGTTCGCGAAGAGGAATTTTGAGGCTGGTTGTTTTTGACCTTCGTGAACGCGAGGCACGGGTCGCGAACGCGGAGGGGTCGCCTGAGGAAACTACGCGAACATGAAAGGTTGGTCGCGAACGCGTAGAAGGAGGTGAGGGCAGGGCCTGAGGTCATTGGCCTACGCGAACATGAGGCGTAGTATGCAAATGCGTAGTTGTGAGAGCGAAAAGCTTCGCGAACGCGTCGTGAGGAAAGTGCTTCGCGAATGCGAGGGTATCGCCGTGTTCGCAAAGAGGAAATTTCTGGGCCAGAGTTGCTGGGCTTCACGAACGCGAGGGCATGGACGCGTTCGGATGAAGGTCGCCAGGGCAGTGCATAAGTTTTAAAAACGGGTTTTGGCTCATTTCATCTCAAATCTTTCATGGGAGCTGATTTTGGGAGCAACTTGGGACTGCCATTTTCGTCACCAAGCAGGAGGTAAGTGGTTCATACTAGTTTTGAGTTAAATACATGATTATATATGGATTTAAACATGAAAATTAGTGAAAATTGTGGGGTTTGGTAGAAAACCTAAAATTTGGTATTTTTAGATTGTTACCACAAATTTGGGCATGAAATTGAGAGTAAATTATATATTTGAGTTCGTGAGGTTATGGGTAAGGTTTATCTTCGAAAAATTTCGGAATTCGGGCACGTGGGCCTGAGGGCGATTTTGTCAACTTTCCGAGCGGAGTTGGGAATTTATATAAATTGAATTTTTATAAGTATTAGGGTATATTTTTATTGGTTTGCCCATTATTTGGCTAGTTTTGGAGCATTGGGCATTGGTTTGAGTCGTCGAAATGGCTTGGAAGCCAGTTGTGGAATTTCGAAGCGAGGTAAGTCTCCTTTCTAACCTTGTAAGAGGGAATTATTCCCATAGGTGAAATAATGAACCTGCAATATATTCCACCACTGGTGATTGATGGAGAAAAAGTGGCTGAATTAGAACAGGAAGAAATTGATAAGGAAAGCAAAAAATGGCAAACTGCAGTGATTATGTAAGTAGTGGGGAGTACGCCTTCAATTGGAGCTGTGGAGAGATTCATTGCCAATCAATGGAACTTTGTACCTAAACCTAAGGTATTTTTACATAATGATGGATATTTCGTGGTAAGATTTCAAAGTGAAGCAGACAAAGAGGAAGTTCTTATGTCCGGGCCTCATACTATAAATAACAGACCCATCATCACTAAAGCTTGGACACCTGATTTCAATTTCAATAATGAGGTACTTAGAACTATACCTCTTTGGGTTAAATTCCCAAATTTGCCGCTTAATTGTTGGAGTATGAACTCATTAAGTAGGATTGGTAGTGTTTTGGGAAAACCAATTTATGTCGATGAATGTACAACTGTCGTGGATCGAATCTCATATGCTTGAGTGCTAATTGAAATGGTCATAACAAGACCATTACCCCACATAATAAAGGCGAAGGATGCAAATGGTAAGATCTATGATCAGGTGGTGTTGTATGATTGGAAACCAAGATATTGCTCTCAATGCCTGAAGATAGGACATGACTGTCTGATAGATAAACAAAAGGTGAACGATAGACCACCAGTGGTTAAAAGGCAACAACAACAACAAATATGGAAAGCAACGGGGTAGTTGATACCTGCAATAATGGAAGGCTTCGAGGGTCCAGGAAAATAGTGTGCCAAAGCTGTTATGGAGAGTTATCAAATGCCCGATGAGTTAAACCGAAGCACAAAGGTGATACAAGAAGGCACAACATAGGAACTGCAGAATGACTAGACAGAAGTAAAGGGAAGGTCGGCCGCAAAAAGCAACCATAATGTAGGCAAACCAGAGAGTCTACAAGTAACAAATGGTTTTAAATCACTAGCTAATTCAATACAGCAGTATGAAGATCATGCATCAAATGCATCAGACAAAGCTGAGAAGGATCTATAGGGGCATAGCCGGAGATCCATCTTTCAACTTTATCCCTAGATGAAGATTGTAGCTTGGAATGTGAGAGGTATGAATAAA